CTCAGGCCATAAGAATTTCAGGGGAGTCTGTGATAGCAGCCATCTTGTCTGCTCTCCCTACCATGACTGTAAGCCCGTTTGTGCTTGTCACAGCTATTTATCCCTCTTTTTTCCCTTTCAGATATCACTTTTTACAGTCTCTGAGTTGATAGCTGGCAACAGTCCCTTCCAAGTGCTAATGGAGCACCAGGGAGCAGCTATCACTGGCTCACCACCTTAAAAAAAAAAAAGCTCTTTGGGGAATGCTGGGAGTTGGACTTGTTTCTGTCTAAAATTCTGCAACCCCCAGAATTCCCAGTCTATGGCCCTGTCAGACAGGAATTCTGGGAGTTGCAGTCCCAATACTTCTGAAGGACACCAGGCTGGGGAAGGCTAAAATATGCACCTAACTTTCCTCTTTCAAATACTTTCAGGGACTTCTCTGGCCTGGCTCAAAACCTCAGGAAATATTAAAAATAGTGGCAAAACACAAATCTATCTCCACTTTGGAAATATTAGCCTGCAGCAAGAACAAAAGGGATGAGCTACCTGAAGGACAAATCCCATGTTATGCCAGGAAGTCTATAACAGAGCTACCAGTATTTGAGTTTGCTGTTAGCTGAGAATATTCTTTGGCATGTAAGTGAAGGAATTGCTAATCTGATCAGAAATGCCTTATGGGAGAGGGTTTAATTTTTCTTCTCCCCTGTCACCTTTTCGGTCTAAATTCCTCACTGCTCTCTATGCCATGAAGGGCAGGAGAGAGAGGACACAGACAGTATTCTCTCATCCCACTAGAATGAATAAATAGCCATATGAAGGCACCAATCAGCAATTCCCCATCCAAATATTTGTAATAAAAAAAGAAAAAATCAGATCAATGTTATACAGTGTGGGAAGGTACTGTTTGTCCTTTGGTGAGCCTCCTGGCCCACGAAAGACTGATTTGGATATCCTGTATCCTATTTTTTTAAAACTAGCAAACAAAAATTGTTTAATTACAGCAAGATTTGTTTTTGTCCTCAAGGTCAGCCTTGCCACTCTATCATCTCTGCACAATAGGACTGTACAAAATTAAGGCAGCGGCCTTCTTCTACTTGATTGATCCTCCAAGGGGGATTCCCAGCAACTCCTGTTTCTAGCCCCTTCCTTGTTCCCCATTAAGAGAAGGGATGGGGTGTGAGAATTCCTCCATCCGTCCATGTATATTTGTCTGTTCTCGCCATAAAATTAGCACCGTTTTTCAGCTATGCCGCACAGCACACTTGTATATGAGCTCCTCTATCACTGCTGCAAGTTGCAGGGAAAGTGAAACTGTATGTACTCAAGGAAGACAACACAGAAACACATCAGGATAGAAGCAGAGGCTGCAGTCTTATGGATCTTTTTGCAGAAAGAAGTCCTATGAGTTGTAGGACTTGCAGCAGGGAGAAAAAAGGGACAAAGACTGGGATAGGGTGAACTGCATTTGTGGAGAGAGGTAGGAGTGCAGATTACAAAGAGTGTAATATGAGAAGCAAAAAAAAAGGGAAAGGGATTTAAAAGAGAACATAGCATGAGAAATAGTGATCTCAAATATCGTAAGAGAACTGTTAACAGAGAATCCCTGAAAAACCCACCAAATTAAAATGCTCCCACTTCTCCCCCCCCCCCAGTGAACTCTACAAAGTGGCCTAAAGATGGCTTAAGCATGCACCCACTATCGTAACAGCTTTAACCTCATTTATCCTCTTCAGAAAAGCTACCATAACAAACTCTTCCGAGATTAATTTTCAGGAAACATTAATTTCTTCCAAAAGCAAACTAAACTTCCTGGAAAGCTGTCCTTAGATAACTTAAAGCATTCTGAGTACAAGAATAGCTGACTTAAACAGATTTTTTTGTTTGAGAAAACACTTTTTATGGAAAGTGCTGGCTCAATGACTATTCTATGATAAAATGACAATGTGCTTATGCAAGATCAACATGCATTCTTTTAGAAAACAGAACCAGTCACTTTCAAAATCCTATCAAGTTGCATGCTAAGCAGGAGAAAATTCAGTACACAAATCTGTTGTAATAGGCAAGGTCTATTTATATAAATGTTATGAATTTCTCAAATGAAAAGACAATCAAAGAAAAATGCATCAAATTTGAATCTATGAAGAGAGTGTACTTGAACCCCCCCTTTTTTCACAAATATAGGTAGTACTCATTAGTCACTGAGCCTTTTTCTTTATAGCTTTTCTTAGATTGCATTTTGTCTATTCCAGAAACCGAGGAAACGTTATGGCAACTATTGCTGCATATGTCCTTGTTTTGGACAAACGAAGCATGCCATATTTTAGACAAATCAGATATGATGTTGCCTTTCATTAATTTTAATTGGTACATCTTTTTGCCATAGCTATTTGCCACAGCTCCATGTACCAAAACCTCAATGTTAATAGTTCTGCAGTTTTCCATTTTTTAGCTATGATCCTGCAACCTGCCATTAACAGAAGATCTATTTTTAACTCCCAGATAGAAGAAACAATAAAAGGTAAACAAATCAATCTTTCCTATATTAGGGAAGGAACTAAGACGAGACACAGCACCTTATGTATGACCTCAGTACACTGTACTGGTATGTAAGCCAGAGAAGGGGCCGGAGTGAACATCCTTCAGGTAGCAACTTGCATTTCATTTTTGCAGAGTGATTCTATGCAAAGCTGGGCACACCCAATCCTGCTGAAATGCGCCTGTTTAAGCCAAAAGATGTTGTCCCTATTAAAGGCAACTGGACTCAAATAAGATGTCTTTGGTCATCCATTCCCTCAGGCAAGCTTCATGCATATCAACAGGCTCTCTTTTAACACTGCTGCTGTAATGGAATCCTCTCACCTGAATGAACAGTATCAATAATAAAATACTGCAGTGACCTATAAAACAACATAGCATTAGTGGTGGTGTTGAGGGGATGGAGGTGGCTGTGAAAAACTGAGCTATACGTTGCAGAGTCCTTGAACAGAGAAAATACATCAGCCTGGCCATGGGGTGGTTGAACCAAGAAAAGTCAGAGGGACTGTATGTATAGTTGCTTTTCTAGAACCAGATAATGTGTCAGATGTCTTGAATTCCACATCTGAGTCCCTAGTCCTCTTTCTGGGATTTGTTCCCTCCTCCACATCCTAACCATCTGCTTTGCAGAAGAGAATGCCGAGATCGTTATATACATGCGATCAGATAAACATAGACTGTTTCATGGAAGAATCTGTAGATTACAGTATTAGCCTAGAATACCTTGAACCTTCTCCTAGAACTATGCCCCAGAGGAATATGACAAGAAAACACAGTTCTATCCTCCCAGATATGGCTGGGGCACAGAAGGGGGGAAAACTGCCATCCTGACAAGCTCAAAGACCAATAAGTAGAGTCTCTTAGGTCTTAGAGCTAGATAGCATGGTGTAGTGGTTAGTCTGATTACAGAGACCCAAGTTTTGGTCCCCAGTCAGCTCACTGGATGACTGTCAGCCCAACCTACCTCACAGGGTCACTGCAAGGATAAACAAGGAAATGAAGTGGAGGCCGGTATAAGCAATCTTAAGTACCCAGTGAAAGAAAAAAGGTGGGCCATACATGTAATCAGTAATTATTGCTAAACCTGCAATAAACTGTTCTCTCACTACTACCTGTGCACATACTCCATACTTTGCTTCTCGAAGTTTAAACTACAATTTGAACCTGGACTGCAGGCCATTGTTTCGTGGAATACCATCATCTGTCGGATTCGGTTACAGCTACTCAGCTACTAAGGGAAACCAGATTATAGACGCACAGGGGCATCTTTCCTCTGCACCGTTCAAGCTAGGCATTTGTAATGGGGTGGCACTGCTGGGAAAACGGTTCCAGAATGGAATCTGGGTTCAGATTACGACCCAAAAGAAGCCCTTCGCATTTTGAACCCTTTCCTCGGACTTTCACTGGGGCTCACTATAGAAACCAAGAGACGCGGGGGGGGGGACACCACCACCACACACACGTACACAGAGGGCAGTCCCACAGTCTCTTCCTCACCACAGAGAGGAAATCCGGTGGATCGTGGCAGGGAGGAGAAGGAAGTGGCGAGCTACCGCGATGAAGTCCCGAAGGAGCCTCGCAGCGGAGGCGCGCACACCGATGCGCCTGTGGCGCGACTCTTTCTCCGCCAGGGCTAACTCCGTGCACTGCGGAGGGAAGGGGGGGGGGCTGCAGGAAAGACCTCCTGCTCAGGCCAGAACAGGCCTGGGGGAGAAGGGGGACGCCTTTCCGGGCATCCTCCTCTCCAAGGACGTTGCTAGGAGGGGAGTGTGTGAGCGGCGGGGGGGGGATGCTCCTCCAATGTCTCTTCCCTCTCCGCATATCCCACATCGCTTGGGAAGCGGACTGACGGGCTGGGGTCGCGGCCGCCGCCCTCCATCGCCACAAAGACTGGGACGGAGAGGGGAAAGAGGTGGGCGGGCAGAGGACAATGCGGAACAAGGAAAACACAGGGACGCGCGCGCATAGGCGCCCCTTAGCCGAAGCCGCCGCGCTCACCTTGGAAGCCTTTGCCCGGGAGGCGAGGTGCGAACATCGGTTTCCCGGGCGGCCCAGCCCGGCCCGGCCGCTGCAGCTGCTGCTATTCTCAGAGCTCCCGCCCGGACACCCTCCCGCTTTTCTCCTATGCGCGGCGGCTCCCTTTCCTTCCCTCCCTCCCCACCCGCCCCGCCGCTGTCGCCGCTCCAGCCTCCAGAAACCGGGCCACGTCCCTGGGAGAGACCCGGCGCGCAGGCGCACACGCCGCACAATAGGGCCCCCGCACCCCCGCTTCTGCCGTCGAGGCCGACCCCTCGAGTCCCAGATCCAAAAGGCAGCGAGGCCAACATAGGCGGAAAGGGAAGGGAGGACACCCATGCACAGATCTGAACAGCCCCCCCCCCCCGTTTCTCGATTAGGAGCCTCGTCTGTCCTGGAGTATAAAATCAAAACAAAGCATAAAGGCTAGTTCGCGCCACGCAGCCTCCAATCCTAGGTGTACTTACTTGGGAGTAAGCCCCACCGAACTCCGCGGGACCCAGATCCGAGAAAAGCTCCATTAAGTAGGGGTCGTGGTCCGCTTCTCGTCTCTGCCGCTCACACTTTGGAGCCCCCAGTTCGTGATCGTGCTTTCCCCATTATAACTTCGCTTCTCCTTTTCTCTTTCCCCTTTTTTTGGGTTGCACGATGAGATGGCGAGGAAAGGCCCATTGGCTTCCTCCTTAAGGAAAGAAGGGGGGGTAGCCCTGCCCCGTCCCTGGTGGGAGGGGAAGAGCGTTCACTCTTCCCACTTTGCCCCATACAAGGCAAAGAATGCTTGCAGACATCATTCACTCTCCCGCATACGCTAAAGGGCCTTTTATCCCGTCTCTCTTTTCCCGTACACATGTGCGTACGTGTGTACGAGAAAAATTATCTCAGGTTCCCCTTAAATCGATTTCCTGTAACTCCAGGTGGGGCTTGCGCCCAGGTAATTGTGCACAGAGATGCCATCAATGTCAGGGTCGATAAGGACAGGATCAGGCAGTAGGACAGGAAGCTTCATGCAAGAAGTAAGCGTGACTAGAAGGGAACTTCGGAGCTCGCATGCACTGTATCAAGCTGCATAGCTCTGTACCTGCAAATGAAGGAGAATTTGCCTTGAAGAGAGACAAAAAGGAGGTTTTTAAATGCTACTTTGCACAGTCTGTATGAAGAATGCCCCCTTTTGGAAGGTCCTAGAGTGTTTTATGAAACAAAGGATGACTATTGAGTCAAACTCCTAAGGTGGATTTCCGAACTGTTCTGAATCCCCCTGAAAGGAAAGTTTTAGGCATCTGTTTCACTGACATTTTGAAAAACTATCTGAGCTTTTGCTAAGCACTTGATATTTGAACATGTTAAAATTTATAAATAAGTATTGCTTGAATTTCACAGAAGGCAAAATACCTCATTCAGAGTACCTCAAATAAAACAGATTGTGTCATTAATTTTCACCCTTTTCCAGATAGCCCCCACACTAGTGCAACTACAGTGAATTTGCAGTGATGTGGAGGAAAAATATAAAGAGGAGAGTGGTTGGTACATTTTTCACAAGCTGTTTCACACACTCTAAAAAACACTTTTTCATCAAAATGGAATTTTACAAATATGAACCAAATACTAATCCTGAAGCAAGGCAAGTATAAATCAAGGGAACCCCCCCGCCAATTAATCTTTCAATTCCCATCCAGATCCTGCTTCAAAACTTAATAAATAAAACCATTCATCCATCTCTATTATACCATAGGTAAGAGGTATAAAGTTTCATGTGTGGTGCAATCCCCTATATAATTTGCCCCCTTCATGCTAAGAAAGGCTGGGGAAAAGTCCTTCCATTGGTGCAGATGGACACACAGGGCTGGAATTAAGAAAGCCCTTGTCTTGACCAACTGACCAGCAATTGGGGCACTCTGGGCCAGAAGCGGTCCTTGGAGGGATACCTGCATTTGGCCTTTCAATGTATCAACCCAGAAACTATAGGTGCATGGGGGAGGTAGCAACAGAACATGCTTGTAGGCCTTTTTCTGGGAATGATATGTAACTTCACACGTTGCCAATACCGTCTCCAAGTAGCTGTCAGGCTAAATGACTTGCTCACCAGGGCATTAGGTACAATCACAGACACATTTGCAATGAAACACATGAGAAGCATGCATCCTGAAAGGGGGAACTTTAAGAACAAGTATTATAGGACCTCTCTACTTAGGAGGAATCCTATAGCACTGTAGTAGACAAAGGAGGCCAGCATTTGTACCAGTCTGACAACACTGCTCAGCAACACATTGTCTTTGCAAAACTTATAATTTCCTTAGAAGGGAAACTCTTAAATAGTGTTTGTTTTAGTTTCTAATATTGCCAAAGCATTTGTTTATACTGTACACAAACATGTGCAAGCTGTAACACATTTCTATTGTTCATTTCAACCAGTTACTTTGCAGTGATTCTTGACAATATCTCAACGGCAACATCTTGCTAATAGGTATTCACTATTTTAATTTGCAGGATTAAAGAATAGAAGAATAAACTTAGGATGCATTCCAGTAACACAAATGTTACTAAATAGTAATCGGATAGTATTCCTTGATCTGTAGTTGACAGTATTAGTTATCAAGCACCTAAGATCCAGGTTCCATGCAACACACATAGGTGCTATACCTAGGATTTTTACTACCTTAAATGAGAATCAAAAAATAAAGTGCCAGTAAGCATAAGAGCAGATCAGTTCAAGCTAATACAGGTTCATCTGGATGGACATATTTTGGTTTTTTACATCACAAAGTCCCAAACTTTTTATCTGGAATGTAGAGAATGTTATGGATGCTATCACAAAATGACTGCCATGAAGGGTTTGCATCCAGAGACACAAACCCAAATTTGCAGAAAAATTGGGAAGACTGAAAAAAAGTAACACCACAAACAGCTAAATATAAAACAGAAGTGGAATCTGAACTCCAAGATGGAAAAACCACTTTTCTGCTCCAATGCTCTTTTTATCCAAGGCCACTGGTTAAGGCTCGATGATGTGATCTCACTAGTATTCTTGGAAATAAGATGGTGCCAGGGGCTAACACTTTGCTTTGCAGCATATTCACCTCACATTTAAAATCTCTCTCTCTCTCTCTCTCTCTCTCTCTCGCTCTCTCGCTCTCTCGCTCTCATGCAAATCAGAAGGTGTAGGGAGCAGGGAGAGGTTGTCAAAGAAAGTACATTGGTGCTTTTGAGCGCTATCTATATGGGAGCCTCAAGATAGCTAAGATAATGTCCAAGCAAATCCAGAGTGCTAGAGTCCTGTTAAAAGTAGCACATTTCTGTGTTCAATTTAAGCTCATCTCATGACCTTACAAGTGTCAGAGTCCATTTCATCAGACAGAGCCAAGTTAAATGGCTTCCAGCTCACAGAAATCTGTATTATAATAACGATTAGTCTTCAAGGTCTTTCTTGGGATTTTAAATACAAGCAGGGTATTTTATCTAGAGACTTGTCTTCCTATGACCAGTTTTAACTAGCTTTGCTGGCAAATTAATCAACTAAAGATTTAGTTGATTCCTCCAGGGCCAGTTATAATCAGAGGTCGCACATTAAGGTTGTCAAGTGTCTAAGAAAAATGGCCTGAACTGCTCAGGAATCTTGAACAGAAGCAGAACCTACTGAAATCAAATGTTCACACCCTGATTATTCGCTAACTTACTCTTAAAAGCATAGAAACCAATTTTTAAAATGCAGCAGCTGTGATTAACGGCATATGTATTTATGAGTCAAGATTGTTTTGGTATGTTACTGTAATCAGAGAATGAAAAAAATACAGAGACTGACTTTGCTTCCAGCCATCAATGGTCCCTTTCATTGATTAAATTGCAGGTTCTCATATTTCAGCATTCCCAAAATGTACTTATACTGTACTGAGATTTTTGCTTTAAATCTTATCAGTCCATTGGTTAAAAGATTAAACAGCTCATACTCTTAAATTTGTCCACAGCAGAGCTGTGTTGTTACCCTAGTGATACTGACTGGAGAACCTAAAAAACACATTTTCTATCAAATGCTGCAGAACCAGGTTTGATTTCAAGGAAGCCTTTCATTATTTCAAGCTAGGCTATTGTGCATCAGGACAGAGTTAGTATCTGATTGCCTGAGGCTCACTGTAGCAATATAAGCCGGCCTCTCTCACCTCTGCTAAAGCACAAACTGCTCTAGTTGTTCAACTAAACCTTCCTAACATTCTTCCCACCTCCCAGAGAGGTGGCCTATAAAAATGCTGAGAAACGGTTAAAGTACCAGTAATGGCAAAAAAGGAAGCAATTGAACAAAACCAAACATAATTAAGAATTGTGAGCTGTCCTGAAATGCCATGCATAAGGGACCGCATACAAAAGTTTTAAATAAATAAGTGAATTATGCAAAACTTATTTAAATTATGCAAAGCAAACCCAGTCTGATAAGAATACTCTGTGCTAAAAAAACTATATAGATGGTTTCCCATTTGACCCTAATATTTAACTGTGGAGTTTCAGGTTATACCGCCATCATTTAAGGAAAAAAAGGAAAAAAGATATTATGTTTACCACCCCAGAGGACCTTAATATAACATTTCTATACAAGAAGACATGCCATTTCTGACAAAAAGCTACTGTTATTATTGTTGCACAGGAAAAGTGCATATGGGGAAAAACATACTTTATTTTAGGACTTCAGGAGAAAAAACTATCTTTAGGATTGTATGTGTGGTTACCTCCTTGAAACTTCTGCGCCTGGAGAGGTTATCCATTCTAGAATCAAGTCTTTCCCTTAGCTAGGAAAAGAAGCAAGGGGAAAGGGGGCTTGGCTTACAGTTATAACTCCCCCAGGAAGGTGGAGCTAGTTTTTCCTATATAATCCTAGTGCTCTATTCATGGTATTGTCTTAGGGGAGTTATGACTGACTGAAAAGAAATAGCTTTCCAGTGGTTCTGTATTTAGGATTATAAAATGCCACTTCAAGTGGGAGTATAACAGCAGTGAAACTTCTATTTAGATAACGGCACAAGAAGGTTTATTAAATTATTCTTGTGTTGCTCGTTTCTTAATTGGCTTAGCATGTTGTCCTTCAAGTGTACTGTTCAGCCCGCATCCCTTTGCAGCAGGGCCCAGTGCAAAAGAGGACTAGGCTACCACGCTGCTTCTCCAAAAGAAGGCATTTCGGCAAGTGTGGCTTGTAATGTGAGTTACACCTGCCAAAATGCCTTCCTCTGCAGTGCATTTACACAGCCCTCTTTCCTCTTCTGTACAAGTCACAATGCTTTCTCCAAAACAGCTTCTGCACAAGTCTTGCTTTGCTTCTGTCATAGCAGCATCAACCAAAAGCTGCTCTTCTACACTATTTACCTGGAAAAACCTTAGTGATATATTGACTAGAAGTGCTAATTGGCTTGCCCTCCAAAATGCTTTTTTCTTCCATTGCTTTTAAAAATAGACCTCAGGGTGATGTTTAAATACTGTTGCATTGTAATAGTAATAGCCAAGTGATGAATAGATTTTATTAAGCACAATGTAACTGATTGAATTACAGATTATGAATTAAACTTATTTTTACTTCATAATTTAATTTCAGGTTTCTGAGTTGCATTTCTTCTTTTCCTTGAAGCTAATTTCTAAACATTATATAGCTGAAGGGATAAAATTAACTATTGCAACAGAAGCAATGATGTAGAGCAATGACGTCACTCCCATAGCAACT